TGGCGGCTCTAGAAGAAGTTTGTGAAGATGTTCCAAATATGGTAAGGTAGCATTTGAAATTTTAATACACTGCTCATTATCCGTAGTGTCTTCGCTATTACCATGTACATCTCCTTCATTTGATGTGCTGCAAAAAATTCAAACTATTGTACATTATGCTTTATTTATAAAATGTAATTTTGTAATATTGCAAAATATATAAAAAACGTCGTACTTGCTGGCCCTTTGACCTAAAAGTACCAAAAGTACTTGTATTCCACCGACAATACTACTTTCTACTTTTTCTGCTGTTAGGATAGTTTCTAACAATAGGCTCACAGTTTCTCCTCTGTGTAACAAAATACATTATTTGCAAATATTCGTGTAAAGAATAAATTATCATAAATTTGCAGGAATAAACTTACGATTCTAAAGTATTTAAAATAGGATCTGGATCAGCACGTTCTGTGGATGTACGTTGAGTTTCTCTAGCTACTGTCACCATATCGCAAAGTAATTGTGCCGCGTTAGCGTGTTTGACTACTTCTGAAGTAGGTGCTAACAATTTTACCAGTCTTTGCACTAAATGTTGACTATCTAGCCACTATCAAAAAGAAGCACACACATATGTTGAAAAAAATTTAATTATGCAATATACCAGAATTTAATTATATAATGGTAGTCACATAAATAAAAATTTAAAAAATATAAAAATCGTCTTACATTTAATATGTTTTGACGCATATCACTGCCCTCAACCTGAGTAACAAGTTTGAGTACTAAGTCCATGATAGCCGAAGTCTCTAAATGTTGCAACAACAAATCTACACATCTCTGACGACTTTTAAGGAATTCTAAAACCTGTAAGCATGTGAACTGATAGGAATACCAATTCTGGAATAGATGGAAATGTATAGGATGGATAAGCATGTGGATAATATAGGAAAGGAAAAAAAGTTTGTTATTTAATGAATATTACTTGTTATCGAAAATGTCAATCTCAAAGTTATTACATTAAGTACAACTGACTGATCTTAAAATATATATTACATAAGAGTTTTTTTACGTAAAAATAAGAAATGTTTAAGAAATAATTACCTGGTCACTTTTACGAGCAACAAGAACTCCGATAGTTTTACTGAAAAATGATGCAAGTAGTGGATTTAATGGTTGATCTGTATCTATGAAAGAATATAATTTGGCCAAAAGTGCCTCGTCACCTGAAAAAGGTTCAAGAAACATATTCATAAAATATAACTTTACAAATATTCTTCTCCAGTCTATAGATACATAACAGAGCTCTGAATATACCTGCCAGTTTCTCATTCAATGTAGGCACATCGCATGTGAGCAACTCGCAGGCAACATTAGGATACTTGTAGCGCCAACGTTCTTCGATGTCCGTGGATGGTTCCTTAGTAGTTAATGTAACTAATTCTTCCATAACGGCAGGCCTTGTAAGACTACAAATTACACATTGAAAAAAAATTTATATTTTTTTTTTTCAAAGATACCATATAGAATAAAAGCTTGATTTAAAATCAGATCTAAAGACTATTTCCACTTACTATTCGACCAGCTTTTTGTTTTGACTTTTGCATTCCTGAAGGATGTCCTCCTCATCCATCAATTCATGAAGTGTGACATCCTGTAATCAAGTAACCGATTAGATACTGTCTAACGAGATTCCGGAGGGAGGGAGGAAAAAGAAAGGCTCCCTCGTGGGGGAAGTATAAGGAGGAGAGTCTGAAGTCACTTACCTCTTTGTTGAGCAATGCCTCGATATGCGGCGATGACACGTAATTATTCGTCCAGAACATGATGCTGACCGTGCGCTACCTCTGCAGCTTAATATCTAAATGTGTCGTGATTTATCGTAGCCCGGGACAATCGTCCGACTCACATTGGCGTGGCGTAGGGACGCACGCACGGGGAAAGGAAAATGGTGCAACACGTCGCGTGAATTCGTTCGGTCGACGAACGACTAACATCGCATGCACACGTATATGTATCCTCCTGTCGATTCTCTTTAGCACTCTTTAGCACCGTCTGCTCTAAAAACCGCTGTCGTCACGCACACTACTTCCTCGCGACCGCTTGGTACGCGATTACGCCACTGTTCCAGCGGCTCTCGCAGCTATCCCGGTCGTTCCTGACAGTTACGACGTAGACCAACGTAAATGACGCGAACGTGGATTCCTACTGTGAGACGATGTACGACGATAGTACGATGTACAACGATACCAGAATTAACGAGAGAATCAAGTGCGATCAAGTACGGTTGGACTCGCAGTTAAACGTGATATCACCACCGGACGCTCTCCAGCGTGAACAAGCGCTCGAGCGTAGAACACGACGTATGAGAAGGTCGAGAACGGAGAAGCGCGGAGACTCTTTCCTTCTTTCACCCAGCTCGTCCTTTCTTCTCCAAAAGTCCGAAACCGTTAACTGCACTCTGCTGCACTTTCGTCATTTAAAATGGAACGTCGGAGAAAGAAATATAACGCAAAATCAACTATCTGAACGGTTTAAATTGTATTTTTTTTTTTCACATTTTCTGTATTCAGGATGAAGAAGATATTCGCGTATTTCGTATTTTTATATTGAAACAAAAAAAAATGCAGCTCATTGAAAGTGTAATTGTAACGGTTGAATAATCGTTTTATCGACTGAGACAGTAAAAAAAAAATGAAATATTTGCGGAAATATAATTAAATATGATTGATGCAAGATGACGTCACGGTAGAAGACAAATACTTTCATTTCGCTAACTACCTCTAATTTCACGCGCTATGCTTAACCTAACCTAATGCCAACTGATGCCACGATGTCAGTCTATGTTTGACAATTCGTTGTGACTTTAAAGTGTTTGACACTTTGACCGGAATATTTTCTTTTCTATACGTGAACACGCATCAATTTCAAAAAATGGCAAGTAGCAATTGTTATTCTTTACATGTTATTCTTTACTAACAATCGAAAATTCTTTCTTTGACTCTCGTAAAGTTAGTATAGATTACTTCAAGTCACATCTAACCTTAATCGTATTCGCCTCAAGAAATATGAGTAAAAGGACACAGAAAAGATATAAATTTAAACCAAGTATAGATATAAATTAAATATCTGTGTGTCAATCATGTTTTTATTTTTGATTTAATTTTATTGTTGATTGTTTTAGGTTGAAATCGAGTCGATGACGAGATATGTCTCGCCGGTAAATCCAGCTGTCTTTCCTCTGCTGGCTGTAGTTTTATTAGGAATTGGAGTATTTTTCACGGCCTGGTTTTTTGTATACGAGGTTACCAGCACGAAATTCACGCGAGATATATGCAAGGAAGCACTAATTTCATTGGTCGCAGCGCTATTCTCTAGCTTTGGAGTATTATTTCTGCTGCTCTGGGTTGGAATTTATGTATAGACAACTAGAAATTATGTATCGATAAGAAGTTAATATTTTTACTGAGCAAATATCATGTATTTGTTAAAAAAAAAATATATATATATATAATATGAAATATGAAGTTTTTTAATTCTAATAGAGAGAGAGAGAGATGATACACAATAATGTAACTAAACTCGGAAAGATTTCTTGTAATAATCATTGCTGTAGACAAATACCTAATTCCGAATATTTTATATTGTGCATAAGTTTATTCAATCTTTATCACAATGAAGGCATGAAGTTTGTAATATAGGTACACAACAAGTTTTGTGACACCTCGAGAAAATAAAGACTCGCACTCGTTTTTTATAAACATAGACTATAGCGTTATTAATCTCATCATGCAATATTATATGTAGTAATAACATATATAGTTTCTGTGCGAAAGAATTACATCATTTACTTTCATATTTGAACGTGCTATAATTGTATCTTCATTAACATATATATTCTATTAAATGTTTTTCTTGTAAAATACAAGTCTTTTTTTTCATACAGAGAAGAATATGGTGTTTATTGTCGATGAAATAATTCTCTGTGCTTTTTGACACCGATATAAATTATATTCCATTTTTACCATATAGCACAATGATATATTTTATTTAGAACAAAACGGAATATTGCAGCTTTAGGATGAAGTGCATGAGGAATATGTTTAACCGACCAAACCGGCTTTCTGTCGACATCTTTGCATTAATGCTCTCAACATAAATTGTCTACGCGATAGTTGCCGAACTTGCTTCAGGAACGCATCTAAATCTAATATGCCGGATCGCAGTCCTTCAGCAAGATAGTAAATAGCATCTTCCGTGGCTGCTTCTTCGGCAAAAGCATTTAGCATCCTGGAAATTAAATGATGTTATAATTATATATAATTAATCAAATTTATTCATTACAATATCAATTCATACAATTAAAAAAAAATTCATAAAATTATTTAGCAGTAAAATCGTTATTTATATGCTTACTGTTTATACAAAGGCGCTATAGTAGTAACAGCTTCATCGACATCTATCGATTGATTGTCAGACAATTTGGCAATCTCTTTTTCTAATTCTGCTTCCTTATCTTGTAAAATATTAATATTTTTTTCGAGCTCCTGTTTCTCTTTTTTGAGTTTATCAAAAAGATCTGCCAAGTGCGACGAACCGCTTGTTAGCTCTTGCTGCGTTCGTCGCAGCGTCTCAAGCTCGGCCTGTAACTGTGAAAACTGTTCCTTGAGTCGACGTCGAAGCTTATCTTCTACCGCAGACAGCAAGGATGCTCTTATATGCTCCTCTGTAATCGTGCCAGATCCACTGGAATTTGGTTGTATCGTCGGCGACTTGCGAATAATTACAAATACTTATTTAATCTGATATACCTTTCAGTAACTGTTTAATAATAATTTGTACAATAATTAAGATTAAAATGTGAATATTAATTATAAATGCCTTGGACTAAAAATAAATAATAATCGTATACCGGTTGCGTGACTGGTGGATACGGTGGATATGAACCACTGTAACTTTGTGGTGGATAACTGGGCGTGGTTCCTGCATAAGAACCATAAGAGCTTGGATACGGAAATCCTCCGGATGCTGTCGGAGGATATGGTGGGTACACATTACTACCACTGGAGTATTGAGAACTTGGTGGATACGGAGGAAAGCCAGAACTTGATACATTTCCACTACCAGGTACAGGCATGAATGCTGCATGACAAGTTTGTATGAGGTATTTAAATGAGACAATAATAAAAAATTTTTTAAAAGCTTATTATAAAACTCTATAAGTATATCTACATTGAACAGGATACGGTGTCGAACTCTGTTGCGTTTCTGATCTTGTCTTGGCATAAACTGGAGGCTGTTCCCCAAAGGTAACAATCATAACTTGAATTAAAGCAAGCAAATCTGAATTATGCTGCAATATAAAAGAATAAGTAAATAAATACAAAATTCATATATTACAAAATTCATTTTTAGTGATCAATAGTTAATCTACTCACAGGCACCCAGTCATGAAGATATGGCAAATAAATTTTACCATTGTGATCCACAAACATACTGACTTTAATATGCATATCTGCTGTTGGCTTAACATAGCACATAGGTGCATTATTGGGATGAGTATCCATCAACCATATGCAGATTGGAATATTGTAACAAGAACCTAGAAAAGCAACAAGAAACAATTTTTAATAGTTTTAAATTTATTTAGTTTTGCAGCACATTGATATCTTTCTAATATGCCTGATTGAGCATCAAATTATTAAAAATTGCTTGTCGATTTAATTTAATTTGTAATATTATTACAGTAGTTTAATTTTACAGTAGTTTAATATTATTACAATAGTTTAATTGTGTTTATAAGTTCAGAAAACCAATTCGGAGTACAGTTCAAATGACTAAATATGATATATATGCATTATATATATATACACACACACACACACACACACACACACACACACATTATATTATTTAAAGGTTAAAGTTCCAGCGTTATAGGCTTCGACTGTTATAGGATTTAAATTCTTATTTGTTGTATATTTAATAATTTTATTGTACAATTAACATTTATGTTTAAAAATTATTTTCAAAAGAAAGAAAGATTACCTTTGTAAACAACTGGTATAGTTCCTTGTAAATTGAGTAGTTCCTTACGCGAGCCATCATTGAAAACTAGTTGTGAATGATAAATAAGTTTAACGAATTTAGGAATATCAAGAAGCATTATATTTGAAATTATTGCAAATAATTTTACTTACCAAAAGGTTCAATTTTATACACCAAGCCTTTGTAAGTATTTAAGACATTTATTACATGCTTCTTTGTTATATCTGGATTTTGATACTGAAAAACAACATTCTCTTTTTATATTATGAGATCAATATAATAACATCATTGTAATATCATTAATGTAAGGATAAAATATTTATACCTTAGATATGCCTTGTCTAATCCTTCCCTCATCAAAAGGTGTCATTTTCACCATTTAGCGTAGCTAAATCGAAATAACGACAGATTCTGATATCTCCCTATCAGACGTATTCCAAACAAGTATCAAGATAATTTTTTAGACGTTGCAGTAACGTAATAGAAGGTAATTATCGTTGAGTACGCTTGTGTCTGTATTATCATTGACTACCTCGACGGAATCTTGATATGATGAGATCGTCAAAAGGATTATTGCGAAGAATTTATTAATCTGTCATACGAATGCGGAATGCACACGAAATGTCATCATGAACCATTATGAACTATCATGAATAATTTGGCATCACTGTCGTGGCTGTCATAGTTCAATCATGAACTATGCAAATTATCGAGAGATTTTAAACGCGATATGCTCGACCAATCACAGTAACCAAGACACAGTATAAGTACATATAGTATGGACACTGAACTTTTCATGGGTCTCCAATTTTTAGTATGCATGCGTCTGTTTCCAACTAAGAATATGGCTGTCTTCAATAAATTGAAATTGCAGGTTAAGTTAGCTGGATTTAAGTGAGATCTTCATCCTATAAAATATAATTAATAAAATTAAGTTTTATTAAAAAATTAAATCAAATTTTTTCGGAGACGCTATATTATGTAAATTGTTATATTTGTATATGATAAAGTATTCTCGTAAAAAGGATGCATTTGTGTATGTATATTATTAAATTTACATTTAATAATAATTTTCATGCAATATATTATTTTTTCATACCTAATTATTCAATTATTTTCTTATAGTATTTTCGTATAGTATTTAATAAATTATTA